GACACAGTCCGCGACGCCCTCGCAGTCGCACAAACTAAAGCCAAAACCAACGCAGAGCAGACCGCGCAAGCCCTCGACCAGATCAAGGGCGAACTTAAGAACACCGTAGATATTGTGCAACTAGTAGCTGCCAACATGCGACAGAACGCCAGTACAGTAGAAGAGGCGAGAGCGGCAGCCAAAGAGGCGACACAAGTGGGCAAGGCTACCCTGGAAATGGCAAGAGAGATCAAGAACAAAGCACCACAGCAGCAGCAGACGAACGGGCCAACATCGTACGCTGCGGCAGCAGCAAGAGGCCTTCCACTAGCAGGTACATACAATACACAGAGTCGTAGAGCACCTATCGTGCAAACACAACGTGAGGTTATCGTGAACATTAGAGATCTACTCACTGTGTAGGCCTTGCGGGCAATGAACCTACGTAACCTTAAAGCCTACGTTAAGCGTGCAATTGAGTAGAGCGGTAATAAGAACATTATAGGCGTGAAGATCGTTTCCTCTAACCAGCTTAAGAGCGGCGACCTCAGCGTCAAGGCAGCCACCAGCACCGAGGTCGAAGCACTGCGGCAGTTCGCAGACGACTGGGCCGCGCGCATCGGCCACGGCGCCAGCNTACAGATCCCGACGTACGGCGTGCTCACCCACGGCATACGCACCAGCATAATGAACATGGACAGGTTCGAAGACAATAGAAGCCAGATCTTGCAGGACAACAGACCGTTTATCCCGCAGGCTGAGATCCGCCATATAGGATGGCTGACTAGAGACGCTACCGCCAAGACCGCGTTGACTATTACGATTAAGTTTACTCGACCAGAAGACGCCAATAAGATTATTGACGAGGGCCTTGTCTGGCAGGGCGAGGTGTTCCAGTGCGAGCAATACGAGCGACAGTGCCGCGTGAAGCAGTGCTTTAAGTGCTAAAAATACGGCCACATAGGAACCTAGTGCAAGGCAGCAATAGCATGTGGCTTCTGTGCGCAGGAGCACGACACCTAAGACTGTCCAGCCAAGTCAGACCGGACTATAGCCAGGAAGTGCACGCTGTGCCGCGGCGAGCACGAAGCGTGGAGCCGACAATGCTCTACTAGGAAGGACGAGATGGCCAAAGCGAAGATGGCCTACGACACGCGGCCGCAGTATCACTTCGTACTAGAGATAAGGGGAAGAAACGTACAGCCTGAAATGCCTACTACTATCCTTAGAAGTAGGTCTAGCCAAAACACAGCGCTGATATAGCCTACGCAGCCCACAAGGAGCCGGTCGCAGGCCCAACGAGGATAGAAGCGGGCCAACACGGGAACTGCAATCGATACGATAGACTAGGAGAACGCGTTGCTGGCAGTGATAAGTAGTTAGCGACCACAGAGAACGATTATGCCGAGCCGCAGAGCATTAGAGGCGATTAGCGCCAACGTGCGGCTAACTCAAAGCAACACCTAGTATATAGAGATCGACTGCGAGATAGAAGCATAAATTAGTATAACACACTAAGCATACTACAGTATAACGTACGCAAGTTAAGAGATATAGTAATGGCGATGCTGCTGCGAGACCCCTAGATACATGAGTACGATATTCTGGCCATCTAGGAACTATGGAGGAACCTGTACATGGCGACCACTCACCACCCAGCAAAGGACGTTTTCTATCTCTGCTATTCAGCGGCAGTAGACGAAGAAGGCCCAGCGAGGGTCTGTTTCTTCGTTAATAAGAGAATTAACTACAGTAGATGGCGCTTTAAGGAACACTTGAGAGACGTCTGCTCTCTTGTCATTGAGCCTAGTAGGAACTAACAAGAGCAGCAGAGTGTGGCGATCTATAACATCTATAATGTAGTAGGAGGTAGAGGTCCTATAGGCTCTACGCTTGTAGACGTCCGCGCAGTCCTCAAGAAGTATAGTAGTAATAAGTAGATCCTGCTAGGCGATTTTAATCTGCATTACTCTTTGTGGGGAGGTTAGAACGTTAGACACATTAACCTATAGACAGAAGACTTAATAGTAATTATAGAAGACTTTGACCTTAGTAATACGCTAGCGGCTGGGACAATCACATACGAAGAAGCGGCGCGGTAGACTACTATTAATCTATGCCTCGTTACTGTCGGCCTTGTTAATAGGATGATTAGAAGCGAGGTAGACCGCGATCTCGACCACGACTCTAACTACCTACTAATAAGCACAGCGCTCGATATAACGGTGTAATCTATGTAAGAGATGATAAAGAGGAACTAGAAGCGCATAAACGAGAAGACGTACCTAGAAGACCTAAAAGCGACTCTCCCGCGACTACGTAGGCTAATAACTAAGCTAGCACTTGATAACTACATCCGCGACGTAACTACCGCCATTAAGACAGTAGTAGATAAAGCAACTCTATAGATATGCATCTTAGCTTAGGTAAGAGAAGAATAGACGGCGGAATGCAAGATAGTACTAGCGGAGGCGAAGAGGCTTAAAAGGCGGCACGGCTAACACGGTATAGAAGAGACGTGGTAAGCGTATTAAGAAGCGAGAAACTATAAAGCTAGAGTAATTCGCAAAGTAATAACTTAGATGCATAGAGACTGAGTAGAAGAAGTAGCGCAGTCACTAGAGAAGCTATAGAAGCTTGTAACCTAGGCCAAGACAAGAGGTAGTACGGCCCCTAGGGTCACGCCCGCTATACGACACCCAACGACAGAACACGAAGTCATAGAGCTAGCTAATAAAGTAACTCTATTCTGAGATGTCTTCTTCCCCGCCCCACTAGCAGCAGACCTAACAGACATACAGGACGCTGAGTACAGCGGCCAGATCGAGTTCCCCGTAGTAACGGAAAAGGAAGTAAGAGACGCGATCTGTATAGTAGCACCTTTTAAGGCCCCTAGGCTAGATAGTATAGCAAATCGAGCACTATAGGTAGGAGAGAGGCTAATTACTAAGCACCTCACAAGAATAGTCAACTGCAGCCTGCGCCTAGGATACTGCCCTTCTTACTTTCGTGAGTCGACCACGGTCGTCCTGCGTAAGCCAGGCAAAGACAACTACACCGTACCCAAAGCATACCGGCCGATCGCGCTGCTTAACACAGTTAGTAAAGTTATGGATGCTGTTATTACTCGACGACTTAGTCACCTAGTTAAAATACAGCAGGTGCTGCCCGATACGCATATAGGCGGCAGGAGGATGCGCTCTACTAAATACGCACTGCATGCCGTTACGAGCAGGATCTACTAGGCATGGAACAAAGGTGACGGCCAGGTAGCTAGTCTTCTACTGCTCGATGTCTTAGGCGCCTTCGATAATGTCTCGCACCCACGACTACTCTATAACTTATGGAAGCGAAAAGTAGATAAGAAGACAGTGAAGTGGATTGCAAGCTTTCTTAGTAATAGGCACACTAGAATTGTAGTAGATGGCTTCACATCATAAGAGTACGCAATCAACACGGGCATACCGCAGGGCTCGCCGCTCTCGCCCATTCTCTATCTCTTCTACAATGCCGATCTTATAGACGAGTGCAACAGAGAAGCCAACACAACGTCCATAGGGTACATAGATAACGTAGCTATCCTCGCATGGGGTAATATAGCAGCAGAGACATACAGCACACTAAGTCGCGTTCTCGAGAAAGTACAGCGATGGGCCATCACCCACGCCTCTATCTTCGCACTAGATAAGTTCCAGCTAACTTACTTCACACGCTCGCGTACACGCATTAACAGAAACAGGACAGTGCAGACTAGCTAGGGCGAGGTAACGCCTAAGCCAACGTGCAAGTATCTAGGCCTAACTATGGACTTAAAGCTGCAGTGGAAAGAACATGTAGAAGAGATCAGACGCAAGGCGATAAAGACGGTCAGCGCGCTTAGCTGCCTCGGAGGCTTAACCTAGGGCATCACGCTTGCAGACATGCGGAGACTGTACAAGGCCACAGCGCTGCCATAGATAATATATGCCTGCTCCATCTAGTCAAATGCTAGCGTCAAGGGCAAAACATACACGAAGAAGACACTCAACGTCCTATAAAGCATACAGGCAAGAGCAGCAAGAGCCATATGTAGAGCATACAAAGCTACGTCTAAAGCAGCACTCAACATTGAAGCACACCTCCTGCTAATTGAGCAGCAGATATAGAAGCACAACGCCGACGTTATTATTTAGCTTCTCTCGAGCAAGCACATAGCATACATTTCAAACCTTAAGGTAAGCAGAACACAGCCCGCTAGCGTAAGCATACGCCGCACTAGACACGTCGACTCCTAGCAGAAGATATACGATGATATAAAGGGTTAGCGCAGACAGGATCTTAAGATGCAGGAGCTAATTCCACTCTTTATTACTCCGCCTTGGCGACACGGCCTAAAGACCTACATAGATAAGAGCGCCGACAAAGCACGTAGTCGACACGACAGAGAATATGAGAAGGACTAGAGCCTTAGTATCTACACCGACGGCAGCGGCATAGATGGCGAGATTGGGGCTGCAGCAGTATGCTCACTCACACATTAGACCCGTATAGTACACATAGGGCCAGACACAACCTCGATAGTCTACGCCGCCGAGCTATAAGGCATCAGCCTCGCACTGTAAATAGTATAAGAGTATATAGAGCGAGGGGGTAAGAGGCGGAAGGTAGCTATCTACACAGATAACTAGGCAGCCATTTAGTTAGTGGCCAAGGCTGAAGGTCGATCAGGAGCATACATTCTCGCAGACATTGCAGAACAGGTCAAGACGCTCTAGGAAATGGACCGGCCAGTGACAATAAGGTGGATCCCAGCCCACACCGGTATCCCAGGAAACGAAGCTGTCGACAGGGCCGCCAAAGAGGCTACAGGATGGAGAGAGGACGGCCGCAGACACCCGCCAGCAGACGCACCNCCCAGGCTCTACCCAATCAGATCGACCGTCAGACGCTGGTGCAGGACTCAAACAGAGCGAGCGTGGGCAACCAAGTGGCGAGCAGAGGCGAAAGGTCGAGCAACCTACAGACACACACCATGGC